GTGTCAATACTTAATTGGATATTTCCTTCTATACTTTTTAGCACGTAGCTATTTATTATTAGCATTATTCTTCCGACGTCTGATTTCTTTTTAATTATAGGAAATGCGTTTTTCTAAGGTACATAAACTTTTGGGATTGACTGTATACCCAATACATCCTTATGCAGGTTGAATTATTTACCGTTTTCGAAGAAGTTATAATTGTACTAGGGGATATCGATAAAGGTAGTCATCGATGGGAGATAAAGCCGTACAGGCGAGATAAACTAAAAAGGACGACTCGCGAGCGATATTGTCCCGGTGTTTCGTTCGTTTCCGAAAATTATCTCCTAACGCGGGCGATGAAATACGAGAGAAATTTTCGTGCTATCGAATATAAAACAGTGGAATCGATTGGCGCGGACCGGAGGGAACGCCGAGCGGCGGGATCGTCGCGGCGCTGTTCCCAACGCGAAATGAAATGTGCGAGTAATTTGTATATATAGCTAATCTGCTTGTATCGAGAACATTAAAATGGCCGACGTATCGGATCGTTAATTCACCAATAACCTGTGCGTCAGAATAACAAGGGTCAAATTGTTGGTAGTCGGGCCAAGCGGGATCGCCGGTGCTTTATTTTAATCGAACGTTCCACTTGCCGCGAATGAGAATTTTTCTCAATAATCGTCCACCAGGGGATTCGATGCTAACTTAGTTACGATCGGAAAATGCAACAATACCACTCAATTAGTAAAAAATGGTTAGTTGTAAATTAATACTGCCTAACAGTTTCAATTCTTGGTGACAAAAATTGAAAATTTAAAACTGTGAATTCTGAATTCTCTTTGAACGATTATAGAATTATAAACAGCTCCGTGTTGGAAAAAGTGATCGATGGAAAATTAATAATTTCTAATCGAACGTTGCACTTGCCATGTATGAGAATTAGTAATCGTCCCTGATTTAATTACAATCAAAAATGTAATTATCCCACCCAATTGTTTATTTACAATTTATAACAAACAAAAAAATTGTTTGTTATAAATTAATACCGATCAACAGTTTCAATTCCTTATAACAACAATTGAAAACGTGAATTCTGTTTTCCCTTTGAACGATCCTGAAATTAGGAACAGCTCGGTGTTGGGGAAAATGATCGATGGAAAATGAATAATTTTTAATCGAACGCTGCAATTGCCACTTATGAGAATTTTTCACAGTAATCACCCCTGACTTAATTATAATAAAAAATGTAACAATGCCACTGAATTACTAAAAACTTGTTCGATATAAATTAATACCGACCAACAGTTTTAATTTCTTGTAGGAAAAATTGAAAATGTAAAACAGTGAATTCTGAATTCTCTTTGAACGATCCTGAAATTAGAAACAGCTCGGTGTTAGAGGATACGATCGATGGACGCGAAGATTAATAGCTCGTCTCTGTTTAAAAGGTTCTCGCAATAGATTCCGGCGGCGATGAATAAATTCTCGTGGCGTAACATTCGCGGCCGGGTTAAACAAATTACACGCGAAATGATTCTGCTCCTTCGGCTGAGGCGCCGCATAATAACTTACGGAACAACACGTACGCACGATAAATAACAGGTTTGGTCGAACCAGGCCCACTCCATTTAACCTACGTTTTAATTATCGCAACCCATTAAACCGTCGCGGTTTCGCCATTGCGATTTATAACTTGCCCATCGAAAAAACTGTTCACTATATCTTTAATAATAGCCGGGCCAGTCAAAAATCACAGGTCTTAATTAATCATCGATTTCCCGTGATACAGTGATAAGAAAAAATTTACAGCAAGTCGTCAGACGAATGGAAGTATTCAATTCGAAGGGGACTGTGTGCCGATTAAATATGAAATTCAATACCAGGGATGCAAAACGTTTTGATCGCCCGTGGCATTTTTCTTCGTTCATGCAACTTCGCCCAGGCTTTACGGAGTTTTATTAAAATAACCGGAATAATAGATGAAACCGCGGCGGAGAAACAATTTCGCGCTACCGCGACAGGGTCGCATGGGGGAAATTTTTAACCGGTTACGGAAAATTCATTATCAACTGACTGACGGAAAATAGACTGACGCGTTCTCAAACATGATTTTCAATTATACAGGCTTCTGAATATTTATGTTCCGCGGTGGACTCCTCGCTCGCGCGCCGCTTGTAATTATTTTTCCAAACAGCGCCGCCGGTTCGACCCCGTTAAATCTTCCCCGACGCTCGCTCCTCGCCGCGTGAATTACCCATGTTTCAACGATTGGGCGAGGAGCATAATTCCTCTGGCTGCAGCTTCATGCCACTTTATTTTATTCAATAGCGAGGGGGTCCGATGAATATGGCCGTTGTTAAATCTCTTCGATAAAGTAATGAAAATTAACAGCCGCTCGTATCGCATGAACGTCAAATAAAAAAATAACTGTGGATCTACCGCCTTTAACACTAGATTGCCCAAGGAAGTAATTTTGACTGGTTTTGGGCAAATGTACAAATAATAATGCATAAATTATTTTTTTTTCCCAAGTG